GCTTGTTTGGCCATGGTCTTTGATGGCAGCGATAGAAACCCTGACTAAGGAAACATGGACTCATGCCAAGCAATGAGTCCCAAATCTGCCTTGAGTTCACCTGGCAGTGCGAGCCTGGAAATGCTCCAGTGGCTCAAACAGTCTTCCTGGAAGGATGCTAAGAGACGCTTTCTCTGGGTTCTTACAGGACATTGTGCAAAGTATTAAACAACAACAGTAATGCCCCAAGATGGACTGGGGAGTTTATGCAACCATAATCTTCTGACAACAGTTTTCAACAAACTAAAACTAGGTAGAGCTGGGGTCAACACCCTTCACTTGACTAATGTAACAAGGAACTAGGGGATCCATATGCTTGGTGTGAGAATTTTTTTTCTATCAAAGGTAGGTAGTCCTGCAAGAAATCACATTTCTTGCGCATTCCCCTCCCTCTGCGATGACTGGTCAATTGTGTCAGCTTGTGACATCAACCTCCCACCAATGGGATGAGACACAGTTACCACTTAAGTCAGAGGTAAAGGCTAGGGAGCCATTTTGACTCCTGTGTGCTAGCCCGCCATTTGTGTCTGTCTTTGTTTTTACAAAAGGGTTGCCGAGCAACTTTTGTTTTATTTGTGTCTTCCTTTGTGCCATACTAAGATTATTTATTGCTCGTTTCCAGCTAGGGGGGTCAATAGGACTGTGTATTTTTTTATATGGGTCTGTGAGATCATATTTTGTCAAATGATCCTTCGGCAAAGCTTGCTTCCAGGAGAGGGCTTGTGACTTTTTGGTATCTCTGGAAAGCAGGTCCTGTGTTGATAGTTACACACTCAGCTCACCCAGGGCAGAGAAACCTCTCAGCACAGCTGGGAATCCTGCTGACTCTGGAAGCGTCAGCAAACTCCTAAAACCATCTATCATAGTTTTTAACTGATTACCTTTTTATTACTCTAAATGATGTGCATTTGGGAATGTCTCTGTGTGCATGCAGGCGCCTGGATCTGCTGGAGTTGGAGTTACAGGTGGTTGTGAATCAAACTCCCCTAGGAGAGTACAATGTGCTTTTAACTGCTATGCCATCTCTCCAGCCCCATCATAAATTACTTTTATCCATTCTCTCTTTCATCACAGAGCTACTGAATGCCCACAACATACTGGCATCTAGTCTATGCATCGAAAACAGCAGTAACCAAATAACTCCTCTGCTCCTGGGGAAAGGGAGATGACAAATGAGGTGTGCACTTCACCAACTCAACATAGGAGTGGTCGGTGAGAGCTATGGAGAAATGCAGACCACTAAGGATAGAAGCAATGAAGAAGTGTGTGTGTGTGTGTGTGCGCGTGCGTGCGTGCGTGCGTGTGTGCGTGTGTGTGTGTGTGTGTGTGTGTGTGTGTGTGTGTGTGACAACAGCTCTATTTTCAAAAAGTCGATCCAAAAGTTTTCCCTCTGGAGAGGGAAAGTTGTGAAATCGTGAAGAAATGCAGGAAGTAAAGGACAAGGGACATCTGAAAGCAGGGCACCCTAGGCAGAGGAAACGGCCCTGGTTGATGCAGGAGTATGCCTGTAGCTTTGAGTAACAAGGCCAGTGTTGCAGGAGCAGAGTCAGTGAGGCCTGGGAGTAGGTGATGAAATGCTGGTGAGGTAGTGGGCCATGGAAGGGTTAGAGACATCACTATAATAATTATACCATTATTATATCTATAATTATTTTAGTAGCTATTGTAAATCATTCTAATGGTATTATTAAATTATTATTTGACTCCTACTCTGAGAAGTCTGAGGAGCCATGGGTGTGTTTAAATGGTACTTTAACACCTATGTTGAGACTAGACTACGATAGATAGATAGTGAGGGCAGAAGCAGGAAGCTGCCAGCCAGCTACTGCATTCCAGCTAAGATTTCTCAGCACAGAGCAAGCTGAGAAACAGGGTAAGATGAAGGAGATCCTGCAGGGTGGGAAGCTTGCTCAGTGACTTTGGAGAAGTCACTTGATCAGCTCTGAGGACATACAAAGAGATTCTCGTTGAGCTTAGCTGAGTGCAGAATTCATGGTAAAGGGTTGTGTGCTCCCTGTCCACATACATACCCTAGCTCGGATGAGAAATGGGACCACATATAGGGTGGCTCTCAGCAGAGAACTGAGACGAGCTTGAGCAGAGCCATGACAGACAGGAGAGGCTGCTGAAAAGGGAAGTGGGGCCAGCACTCAGAGTTTTATCTGCTTTGTCCATAAAAGGAGATGAGACACTTCACAGAAGCCCGCACAGGGGCTGGAGTGTGCATTCTTCTGTTTTCACTCCACATAGATCTGTGCTGTCACATATCTGTGGCAAACACGAGTTCTTCATGCAGTCAGACGTCTGTATCCTCAAACTGCGGAAACTCAAAACCCACCTTGGTTGGCTGCTCATTTTAACTTTTTGCAGTATTATATTTTGTCACTCCTGGGACTTTGAGAAAGTGAATTCAAGGACCTCGTATGGAGGCAAGTCAGTGTGTGAAGCTCATTTGACTATAATCTGTTTTCCTGTCGTGAAGAATTGCTCCTTGAAGCTAACTGATGCTTCGATGTGACCTGGCTTCCTCTTGAGAACTGAACCTTAAGCTGGGATTGACAGGGTGGCCAGTCAGGCAGCATGGTGCTCAAAGGACATCTCCTTCCGGTATGGATGCTTTCCCACTGACCATGGACTTGCTCAGGAGTTGATCCACCTATGTCTTCAGAAAGCCACCAGCAGGCAGTGAAAGCTTGAAGACCTGGTGAAGCACTTTGTCGTCCTAGAATTCTGCCTATTGTCATCTTAACTTCTGTCTTTATTGGTACCAGTTTTCGAAAGGGACCACTGACTGAGAATTCTTCCCTAGATAAACACAGTTTGAAATTAAGTAAAAATGTATTGTGGCAACAATTAGAGTTTGATTTCCTTGGGAAAATGCTCATTCAAATACCTAGATAATAGATTTAGTAACAGCCAGGTATAGTGTACACCTGTAATCCCAGCACTCCAAAGGCTGAGGCAAGAGAATTTCAAGTTTGCGACCAGTTTAGACTCAGTGGTGAAACATTGTCTTAAAAAGAGAAATCTTCTCATTGTGTTTTGCTTTAAATGTTATCACTTTGGAGATAGAGTCTCACATAGGTTAGACTTCCCTCAAAACTCATAGTTTTCCTGCCTCTGAAGTGCTAGGACACAGCCATGCACAGCCACACTTGGTTTAGGTGGGTGTGCAGCCTGGGCAAGCTGTCTTCTAAATGAGCTACATCCCTAAGCCCCTAGTCACTTAAAGATCTCTTTTCTACAGTAATCAAAGACTTTTAATAGCAGATTCACATGTGGCTCCTTTAACATTTTAAAAGCAAAGTGGCCTCTGTTTTCTTTATCTCTGGACTTCCCACTGGGACGACTGTTTTCCAGAGCTTGCAGCTATCTTAGAGCTGGTATTAATACTGCTAGTATTTGGCAATAAATAATTAATTATACTGCAAATGACTAAATTTGGAGCACAGGAATGACTCTCTAGAGGGAGCCCTAAAAGAATGCTGTACTGGAGGACTGTGGAAGGCTCTGGGGGCAGGGAGGCCAGTGCATAGATTGTCCAAAGACAGCCAGGCAGCATGCATGGCTGATGACTTGTTTTAGGTGGAAGTTTTATCCACCAAGCCACCAGTCATTAACACCATCCAGGAGCCCCTGTAGGGAAGATCTCCATACCCCTGCAAGCCTCACATGTCCACCTTGCTCTGGAGTTTTCACTATTTCTTCCAGAGCTGTTAGCAACAAAAGGGCTAAATAGGCAGGCTGTCTGCTGATGTCTAGAATAAGTCAGTTAAGGCTTTAAAAGGACAAAACGTTCAGAATTCTTTATTGTGTGTTGTGCTATAGATGGATTCTGCTTTATAGAGGCCTATACAATTTCTCACTGTCATTTCAGGATATCATGAAATATCCCTGGGAACTAGAAAGGTGATGCAGAAATAGCTGCCTGTCACAAGGCCACCACCCCTTCCCTAACCCACATCAGGGTTAGTGAGGTGGCTTGCTTCTACGCTATACATCTCTGAGCTGGAATTTATGGGGAATCGATTTCTGGAGCTTATGGGGGATGAACGGTTCCTTCGCCTCCGGACATCAAGACCGGGCCTCGGCTTTCACTACCCCACTCCTCTGCCCAGCCACTGTCTTCATTTTCCACCCGGTCTCTACCTGGCTGCTATAAGCCTCCTACATTCTAGGACCAGAATACTTGGAGGGAGGAGGTGGAGGAGTGAAGACAAGAAAAGGGAAGGAAGTGTGAGGTGCTCTGGCCCTGCTCTGTAAGTATGGTCCAGCAAGTCTTCTGTCCCTTCTCCTACGGTGGGGACTGCCAGGCAAGGTGGTTAAGCAATAGGTCCAAACATCAGATCTCAGACACTTGGAAAGGCAGCCCATGATGCTGCTGAAATGGCTGATAGTTACCTGTCTTGACATGGTGACCTTTTGGAGGTAGTCGTGGTCTGTAGGCCACAGAGAGGGAAGGACAACTTAACAATGTGACGGACTGTAAAAAGCATGAAGCAGTGATGGTATGACCTGAAGACAATATGGTTTAACTGGATAACCTGATTCCGTTCTAGAGAACAATTTCCGTAAACCCATCAGTATTAGACTATTCGTGGCTGTATCTATTCCTTAACTTTTTTTTAAATCTGAAACTACGCAGGCCAACTATGCTGTAATAAGGAATAAGCTGTGCCCACAAGACAGCTACAGAGTGTTGGAGATAAAACCCAAGCTCGCAGCTCCCACTTGCAGTGCTCACTTTTCCAACCCTTCTGTTCTAAGTGAAAACTGCCTCTTTCGCCTGCTTTGAGATGCTTTGGGATGCTTTGGGAGCGTTTTGTGCCTCTCTGGCGTGTACACAAGCGCGTGCGTGTGTGCTCCGCGCGCAGGGAGTGAAAAAGCGCGCAGTCTGGGCTCTGCGTCACTCCCGCACCTGGCCAGAGATGGGTTTAGTGGTGTTTAATCCGCGGAGGGCACTTCAGCCCGGGTGTTTTCCTGAGTCCCCTATTTTCCTGCTTGGAGTGCCAGTGTCCCATCCTGCTTTGGTGCCGGGTTTCCTCTCTCCTTCCACTCGACCCCAGTGCAGGAAGAAGAGTGATGCGGAGGAGGGCTGGCGGCTGGGTGGCCTGCGGGTGTTGTGCGCAGTGCGCACTGTTTCGGGGGAGTGCATGAAGAGGAGCTGGGTTCTTGCCGGAAAGCAAGCTCCAGTAGCACCTGCTGAGAGCCTTTCCGGCCAAAACAGCCACGGCCAGAGCCACCAGCTATAAATAGGCCATCAAGAACACGGTGTGCGACCGCACATCCTGCCGCGAGGGCCACAATCACGCGTGGGCCCGCGTCCCCAGCACCAGGGGAATACCCCGGGCCAGGTCTTCGCGCTGAGGCTGGATGGGGCGGCGATCCGTGCACCTTCTCCAAGGTCTCCTGGGGTGGCGCCTAGTGGCCCCTGGGCGGGCTGAGGATGGACCGCTGGGGAGCGAGGGGAGGGAGGCCGCGGAGGACCCGCACTGCAGCAGCTGTTGCTCGCCTGTGACTCGCCAGTCTGGGCCGAGCCGCCCGGCCAGAGTTGCACGGCGCGGAGGAGAAGGGAAGGCATCGCGTCCTGTTCTTGGCTCCCGGTAAACCCACTAAGGAGATCCCGGCTGCTGCCCCCCGCCCCCGCCTCCCCCGCGCTCGCCCAGCCGGAGAGGAGGAAACGCGAGCAGCGCGTAGACACCTCCTTCTTGGTTGCCGCCGCCGCCGGCCACACCGCGGTGCCTGTTGCTGCAAGCTGCCACGGGACCCGCCGTATCTTCAGCCCGCCGGAGAAGCAGCACGAGACTGTGGCGCGGTCCCCAAGCCAGCAGTTTGCTGAAAACTATGGACGCCCGGCCCACCCAGGCCATCTTCAGGGTGTCCGGGAGCACCTGCGCGCCCCAGCCCCGAGCTCTGAGCGCGCCACCTTCCTGGTAGGTTCCACCTTGGGTCCCTAGGGTTTCCGCGCAGCCCTCCACCTCCAGCAAGTCCCTGTGGTCCCTTGCTGAGGAAAAGGCGAGTCCTGCCACCCAAGGGCGTTGCTGCCGGGTCTCTAGAGGTGCGCCGTTGGGGGAGGGGGAAGAGAAAGGATTTTAGTGCCACCTTTTTGTCCCCTGCTTGGAGGAGGGAACCGAAACCTTGATGCTGTCTGTGACCAGAGTGCTCAGGCAGGCTTCTCCCGTGCTCCTCTTCTTCGCATCTCCCGCCTCCCCCACCCTCCCGCCAAATCTCACCAGGGAGAAAGTGCTGGTAAGGCTACCAGCTTGGGAGGAGGGGGTCAGAGTGACCCTAAAGCACCTTTTTAAAGTTCAGGGTACTTTGTAGCGCTAACTTTGGCAGCTTCTCAGTGAAGGCAACATTTCTTTCTATGGGCACATCCTGTCCTGGTCATTTTGAAACCCGGCTTAATTGTTTTCTAGCAGCTTCCGGATTGCTACGTGAGTAAGACTCCTTCAAATTTCATACGTTGCTGTTTTCTTCTTTTCTGAAAGATGAGTCGTTTTGTTTGAAATCCACCTAGGTGTGGCGTTCCCCGTTGTGATTTTTATTTTAAATGGCTTGTTCTCCGGAAGTTGCTTAAAAAGGAAAAGAAATTGAAAGTGATGGCTGTTCCTCTCAGCAAACAGTCCAGTCTTCAGCGCCCTGGTGTTGATGGACAGGAGTTCAACTCTCATTCTCCCTCTTAGGTGACTGGGAGAGTTCTTTTATTAGTAGAATCGGGCATTGAAAGGGAGTTTTTGAATGACCTGATTTAAGTGGGTCACGCCCAAGAAACTCAGCTATCTCTACAAGTCTAAACTTCTAAACTTTTTGCATTGCGCCTGCATTGATAAAAGAGTCCCTTTAAGTCCCCCGGACGTGAAGTGGGGTTGCTGTGAGTTGGAGAATGGCCACGGTTGGGCTTTGTTGTTTGTGGGGCCTGCTCAGAGTGGGAGGGGTCGGATGGGAGGAGGAAGGCAGCTGGACCAAGAGGTAGGAATGCACCTTGCAGCTACTTTTCTGACTCACAATAGGATGTTCTGTCCTATGCTTGGCTTAGAGCTCTCTCTTATCTTTCCCTAGCATTCAGAGGGTTCCTCTTAAGCAGAACGTTTCTTCCTGAGGACTCTCCTAAGGAAGGGCCATGAAAAAGTGTGTAAGCTGGTGCTTTACAACTGTTAGAAATGGGATTCTGGGCCTCCCACATGTCTGTGTTTATGTGTTTGTTCCTACCAAGTTATAGGGACCAACTCTCTACGTTTATCTCTACGTAACCATTGATGTACCATGAGCTACTGAGTGGAAGGTGCTGAATGTATTAACTGGTGACCCAGAGACAATAAAGGGACTGATTGTGGCTTGATGGACAGCTTAAAATCAGCAGGGGACCATTACATGGGGAGCTTTGTTTTGTGGATTTCTTCAGTCAGCTACAAACCAGTAGAAAAAGGGGGGGGGGGAAAGCATTGCTGTAGTTCTGATGAAAGGAGACTTTTGCAGTGGGCCTTCCTGCCACAATCTACACCAGTCTGTCCCATGAAGAGCTCAAGGATTCCCTGTTCACCTTGGAGACATTTCTGGTTGGGTGGCATCATGTCAGTGTTCACCTTCTAAGACCAACTTTGTCAGTCATCTGAGGAAATCTGGAGGAGATGGGTGGCTGGCAGAACACTGACCTTTCCCTTCCCCCTCACTATCTAGCCTTTGCTAATACCTGAGTCTACTTCTCCAGAAGACAGCTAGCACCAAGAAGGCTGCAGCCATAGTGCAGAGCCAGGTGTTGGTAGGAGCTATGTTGTGGCCCCTTTGTTTTCTAAGATGTGCCCCTAGAGCAGGGCTACCTGCTCCCCATCTATCAACAGCTATTTGATAGAATAAGGGGTGACCAGGACCACAAACTGCTTGAGAGGCTACTGTTTTAAACATGCCTTTCTTTTATCTCTCTAAACACTAGCTTCCAAAGCACCCCCAGTCCAGCCTTTCTCTGTAGGTTCCAGGCTCCAAAGTTTCTCCAGTTACAAGAAAACGTAAAGCACGTGCCTGTTCCTGTGAGGACTGGGTATGTGTGGCTGGCACAGTTACTCTGCCTTGCCCTTTCTGGGCCTGCTTTACTGCCCTTCTCAAGTTTAATGACCCAGGTAATCCCAGGCCTTGATTTGCCTCCCAGCCCTGTTCTGTTCTTGGACATTAAACTCGGAGAAGCAGAATCTGTTTGTTAAAATGGCCGAATGGCCCAGCAACCGGGGTGTGCAGGATTCACATCCCAGGGGCGAGGAAGTGGACTCTGTCTTCAGTCAGAGCTGCACCCTATCTTTGCCCACCCTCTCCCTTTGCTTCCTTTTCAACCCCACTGAAATATTTTTATGAAAGCAATTTTAAAGAAGATTCCTCACAAAAGACATGATGGTTTCCATGGTCAAGAATTTTTACATTTTTAAGTTAAAAAAATCAATTTGATTGGTTCATAGATCTAAGAGCAATGGATCTCTTTTCAGACTGCAAATATTTAGGAAATTTTTGGATTGTATGAAGTAATCTTAACACTTAGACTTTAATGAGACCAAGAAGGGTATAGGAAATATGTCTTCGTACTAATACATTTAATTCTGTGTTCGATGTTACCATCAAGGCATTCTCTCCTACAGGATAATACCTACTGGGTGTGATGGTATATGCTTGGAATCCCTAGTACTCTGGGAGAAAGAGGCAGGAGGATCAAACGGTCCAGGTCAACTTTGGCTACATAATCAGTTGGTGGCCTTCCTGTGTTACAGGCTATTTTGTCTCCAAACCCCAAACCAAAGAAACAACCCCCACCAAAAGATAAGAAAGTCATTTAACTTTAGCAAATCATTATTTGTTGCTTAACAGGGTGGTACACCACATATAACTCCAACTACTGTAAAAGCTGAGGCAGGAGGATGGATAATTGGAAACCAGCCTAATTAATAAAACAATATTCTGGCTTAAAAAAAAAAAGGAAAGGGGGCTGGGGCTATTGCTTAGTGTTGGGGTATTTGCCTAGGGTGGATGAGGTCCTGGGTTCAATTCTAAGTTCAAAAAGAAACCCCATAATAGTAAAACAAATATATATATATATAAAATGAATGAATTTATACTTCCAAAATAAGAGAATACCTAAGGGCTTATCAGAATTTATGGACTTATACGTGTAGAGTGCTTAAAACACACCTGATACCTAATTAAAATGACTGCTATTATTATTATGTTTATTTATTTTGTATTTCAACTCTAACATTAAGTTTGGATCTCAAAAGCCATGGAAGATTTAGATAGAACAACCAAGCCACCTCAATGAAAAAGATGTTTGAGGAGTAGTGATACTGTTAGAGTGAGAAGTTTTTGCGTAAGATAGGTCCAGATTAAAATCTCGCTTTCACCATTTATTAGTGAGGGAACACATCTGTGAAATGGGAGGATAAAGTAGACCCTTCCCAACAGTGGTAAAACAGAAAGGCATCTGCATCAAGTTCAAGAAGAGGAGAATCCAAGAGCCAAAAGATACAGGTTCAAATTCTACCCTCAGCCATCTGACCTTTGCCCTCACTGGAGGGGAGGGCATTTCTTCTCTCTCACTTGTCTAGGACTGTTGTGAGTTGAGTCAGTTAATGGATACACAGCACTGTTTGTGTTGACTGTTGTTACTACTCAAAACAGCCACACAGGAGGGAAGGTAACACACACACACACACACACACACACACACACACACACACACACGCACACGCACACGCACACGCGCGCGCACACACACACACACACACACACACACACACACACACACACACGCTGTGTGCCAGAGTCACCTAGGACTCCCATCCTCCAGCCCTGTGTCCTGTGTAACAAAATATGAGTATACAAGAAGTGGCAGTGACTTGCTACAGGACTGGCTTGAATTAGCTCTGACTTACATAAGCCGTTCCAAAGTGTCATATTAGAGAGGCACACCCCAGCACTGAGCGTCCAAGTTGATGAAAAGGTTGAGACCACTGGCTTCCAGGACTCTGTCTACTGCTGCAAAGGATGCCTTTGCATCATCACCGCCCTGACTGGAGTAGAAAGAAGTGACAAGCCGTGGTTTTTTTTTTTAATTTTGGTTTTCTGAGACAGGGTTTCTCTGTATTGTTTTGGAGGCTGTCCTGGAACTCACTCTATAGACCAGGCTGGCCTCGAACTCACAGAGATCCGCCTGCGTCTGCCTCCCGAGTGCTGGAATTAAAGGACCACCCGCCTGACAAGCCATGTTTTTAAGCAGTAATTGTGCATGATGCAACATGGAGGATAGCATCACAAGGCTATCGTTGTGAGAGTTAGAGGTCACAGATGAAGAGGGGAAGTAGGAAAGAGGGAAGGGACCAGCTCCTTTGTCATAACCCCCTTTTGTGAGAACTAATGTATTCTTGAAGAAATAACCCACCATAGCAGAGGAGTATTGCTCTCTTCACGGTGGTGGCCATGATTCAGTCACCTGCTACTACGGCCTACCTCTTAAAGGTCCATCACCTTTTAATACTGTCACATTGGGTGCCAGGCTTCCAGAACATGACCCTAAGGGCGCCCACTCAAATCATATCGAGCCCTAGTGCCCTTCTGCCAGCGTCTGAGCAGCTGAGAGCTGCAACTGCCTGAGCTAGCTATGGGAAAATTTTATTCCAGCCTCTGTGGTTTCCTGGGATGGGGCGATATGGAGCTGGGAAGGGAGAGGGCTCCCCCTACACAGCTTATGAACCTCTGCCCTGGCTTCTCTTGTTCTCAGCCTTCATGCACGCACTCCCCCCACACTTTTGTTCTTAAATTGAAGACGGAAGCAGCTTTGTATCCACACACAATGTGGGGGACATTTGGTATTCTGCATTATGGAAATTGCATTCACCAGATTTTAGAAACAGAAGAAATTTGGGAGATGATCTTATTTTATTCTCCTATAAGAGTA